CGCTGGTGAACACTTGGGGACGCTGACAGACGCTGGTGGACGACGAGAGACGCTGACAGACACTAGGTCAAAATCTATACTTTCCTAGGCGCTGACGCTGCCGGACCTCGGAGCGCTAATGAACGCTGGTGGGCGTTGCCGCAAAGTATGAACGGAGCCTAATGGCAAGAGCTGAAACTTGAAATATCAGCCATCACAGTAATGGATTTTGCTGAACTCACTTGTCGACCCCGCCCTCCCCCCCGCAGCGTTCAGACTTCGCGACGGCAGCGCTTCGGTCGCACGTTGGACGCGATCCATGCGCATGCTTTCGACTGCTCCGAACGCGCGACCAAAGCGCAGCCGTCGCGAAGTCCTGAACGCTGCCTCAGTCACCTTCCTCTCTCGAGGAAGTTTGAATTTACAAAGCGTTGTTTGTTAGTGCTCATAAGGATGCAGTCAGTGGTCAGTCCTCGGTTCGACCAAAATCCTATGTCACGGAAAACCCACGATCATACACTAGAAGGGTCACCAGTGTTCATTCTTAAGCAGTGGTCGCGCCGTAACTGCATGTGCCCTATTTTATGTGAAGCCAACTCAATTGCAGTTGTCGGTCTCCATCATCTCCCGCGGCTCGTCAACTTGCGGCCGAATTGGACGAATTACGTCGATTAGGTAATGAGTCACAAGGGAATCAAGTTTATACAACGGCGAGTCTACCCAGAGGATTGGGTCATAAGGTTTGTCACGAGACATTTTTCACTGTGGTGCACTAGAAGGACCCTACAGAAAAACATTCGCAAGTCAGCTTTCAGGCGTCGTCAACTTTGGCACTCCCCACGAAGAAGTACTCGATGACAACGAGCGGATCGGCCGGTGAGCTTACTCCTCCATGAGTTTGTAGTAGCTGTACCACATGACTCTTACTTTCAGTGGAGTCAGACGACGAAGTCGCTCGAGGCGGAAGAGCTACCGCCACATCGTCTCGGGCTTCCGACGAAAAACCTCTCAAACGGGATCGAACGCGATCGTCAATACGAAATCTGTTTATGAGGTTAACTCGAAGTACATCACAGGACCAAAATGGTGGAACCATGCTCAAGAAGAGTGGTACTTCTCGGTATGTGCTTTTCTACAGTGTAGTAACAATAAACATCTCGCGTTCTGAGCATGATTCACCCCCGATAAACTTAGCTTGCTGTCTATCTTGCCAACTTAAATGAAACAGCGCAGGTACTTAGTCACCACTGAGGGAGTTTGAGGGTTTGAGAATTTGATAAAACCCTAAGGCGCAACTTTTGCATTG